CTGGCGGTCTCCACCAGGGAGCGTGGCGATATCAGGATTGACGCCCAAGGGAAGCATCAACATCGACTGGCCGTCAGACCACTCGTAAACGCCATGCACGGCGGAGCCACAGCCGCTTCCCGATGCCCATGAAGGCAAGTCGTTGGCGCCCTTCTGCGCCACCAACTTCAAACGGCTCGCCCCCGTCGCGTCACACGCGTCCGTCGGACACTCCACCCGGATGCTAAAAGCGTGCTGAGGAGAGACTCCAGTAAAATCTGGCTCGCATGTCGCGGCCCGAGCTCCGGTCAGGCAAACCTTGCTGATGTAGAAATGCAGGACGCCGACCTGCTGCACAAAGTACGTGTGGTCGGAGCAAGCACCACCTTCGGCCCCAGCTGCGTATCCGCCTGGACAGTAGCACGCTGCGACAGTCCGAGCTCTGAAGCCGTCGTTCCTGAGGTCGTTTCGGCCAACAGGGATGGTGATTCTGTCCTCATCTGCCAGCACAGACGCGGCGCCAGAGAAACAACTTCCTCTCGACATGCACAGAAAATCCGCAGGCTGCTCGTCGGGTGCAGCACACAACCTGGGCGTCACATTTGCAACGAGACCGCCATCGTCGTAAATGACACCAAACGCTTCCGACCACGATCCTCGCCCCAAGTCGCCCTTGTAGCCAGCGCCCGTGTAGCCGAAATCGACCGCGCAAGATGACAAGTTCCAATAATTGTCGTGCATGTTGCCGTATGCGCCCCGCAGTAGATAGCACCGGTATGGTCTCTTGGTGAGACACGTCTCGTCAAGGACACACTCAGACCTATTGTCGTACAAACCTGCGACAACCAGCCGTGGGGACAGGACGTCGGTGTCGTTTCCCAAGAAGTCTCCCTCGTGGGAATAGCAGAGGCGGTACTCGCCTCCCATCTTGAACGTCAAATTGAAAACATCGGCTCTCTGGTCAGTGGGGTCAGGGTAGACCTGCGCGCCTGCACTTGCCCAGTCGCCACCAACCTCAGCGATGTGGGCACTGTTGACGAAATCATCCTGAGAACACTGCCCTGACTGCGCCCCGTCGGTGCCGACAAAAGCTCTCACCACCCTCATCAAGGCCGTCGCTCTGTCGAACTCGTAGCCGCTCCCATTTATGTCCACTGTCAGCTTTGTGAGCTCGAGCCCTGCATACAATCCAGAAATCAAATTGCTGCCGTTGTCGCCGATGTCCGCCACCGCACTCGCAGCGGTTGGTGCGTGTGTGTGTGTGTGTGTGTGTGTGACGTACTCTTGTCCCGACCAAACTGTGCGAGGTTGGTATCGGCTTTGAATCAGCAACGACGCGTCGCACGTCCTCACCTCCTCCCCCCCTCCTCCCCCTCCTCCTCCTCATCCTCCGTGTGCCCATGTCGGCACACCCCTCACACGCTTCGTGGCCCCATAGAGGGAGCTCCACCTACGGCCTCAGAGGGCGCGACCACAGAACGGCACCGCGCCAATTTCGGCACACCGCTCACTCGCTTCGTGGCCATACAGGGAGCTCCACCTACGGTCTCAATGGGCGCGACCGCATGACGGCACCGAGACCACTTCCGCACACACCTTACGAGGATCGAAACTTCTCGGCAGACGCCGAAAAAACGACGTCCGACATCGAAAAATACAAATTATCCCAGTGCGACCCCACCTAGGAGTAGGAACCCCTAGGAAAGCAGCATTAGTAGTAACAGTAACGCTAAGCTAAAGCTAAGCTAAAGCTAAGCTAAAGCTAAGCCACAGCTAAGCTAAAACTAAGCTAAAGCTAAGCTAAAGCTAAGCTAAAGCTAAGCTAACGCTAAGCTAAAGCTAAGCTAAAGCTAAGCTAAAGCTGAGCAACATCTAAGTTAAACTAAGCTACAGCTAAGCTAAAGATAAGCTAAATCTAAGCTAAAGCTAAGCTAAAGCTAAGCTAAAGCTAAACTAAAGCTAAGCTAAAGCTAAGCTAAAGCTAAGCTAAAGCTAAGCTACAGCTAAGCTCAAGCTAAGCTAAAGCTAAGCTAAAGCTAAGCTAAAGCTAAGCTAAACGCTAAGCGAAAAGCTAAGCTCAAGCTAAGCTAAAGCTAAGCTACAGCTAAGCTAAAGCTAAGCTAAAGCTAAAGCTAAAGCTCCCAAGGGACTGGGGGGAACCGCTCCCAGGGGACTGGGGGAACCGCCCGGGGCGTGTAGCACTGCCCGGCCCCTTTAAGCTAAGAGAGTAAGAACCCTTCTAGGCAGAGCCTAGGTAGGGAATTGCTGCTGAGGTTTGGGCCCTTTGCCGTGATAGTGTTGCTAGTTTCGCTAGTTGCGTCTTGCGATGTCAAGGCCCCCCGACGCATCGACCCCAACATACGTTGATTGTTAAGCACCTCCACGCCCCCCGCCCAGCACCTCCCCATCCCCTCTGCATCCCCAGATTCCCAACCGCCCGCCCCAGCACGGTGGCGGATTCGCGCGGCAGCGCAACTGGATGATTACTAACGTTCTGGCCGTCTTCCAAAAGCACGTGGACGTCTGTCAAGAGGGGATCGAACGAAAAAACATATTCAGTCGTACTCGTCGTGCTGTACGTACTGGTTGCACTGTTCGTCGTACTGCTCGTAGCAGTATCGGTCGAACTAGTGTCGGTCGAACTAGCGTTCTGGTCAGGCTCCGTAAGGTTAACGTTCTCGTCGTCCTCCAAAAGGCGTCGCTGGACCGCGCGGAAGCCGCCGACCGCGTAGCTGTTTGGTCTAGGCACCTCGAGCCCGCGGTGCGTAATGAAGAAAAGCACCAGCCCGGCCGAGAGCCAAGCAAGACACCTCGCCGACATCGGGGCGCCGACTGCTCGGAGTCGCCTCAGGCGTACACTCCGCAATTCTGTCCCGTACGTACGACTGCGAATCCTGCAGCTGAGCGAGCCGTGCATAGGGTGGAAAGATATGGCCTAGCATGTGGCGCGGTGTCGGCTCTAATCCTGGGGTGCGACGCCTAAGGCAAAAGGCCTTGAGCCAAAGACGGGGAGATGAGGGCGTGACGGGGGCGGGTGGCGCATGGCTGGTACCATTGCTCGCGCTCTCGCTTCGTTGCTTCGCCTACCCCCTCAAGATCTGACAACGGAAACGCCTGGTGGGCAGACGGAGACCGGCCGCACTCTCATATGACGGTTTCCTCACCAGCTCGCTTATCAGTGTCCGCACAAAGTCAGCCTGGACTTGGCCTCAACAGGTGCCAGCGGCTTGCATGGCCATACATCTGAACTCTGCACAGTATCATGACACCCTTAGCGGCCGAATGATACAATCGAGCTGCTGTTCAATGGAAAACCTACAGGGACACACCGAATTGATATGGCATTGTGCTGTATTATATGTATGACGCATGCTGTGCTCGTAACCCGATCTGGCCCAGCATCGCCCGCTGCGATTTCATATATGTTATGGGTCACAGATCCATCACACCTGTGGCATATCACCGTGATCACTACCAAGCGGTGCGCACGCGCATCCGGCCCCAGCGATATCCTTTGTAACGAATGCCATGCAATGGACATGGTATGACGTATGTTGCGAGCCCCTTATGAAACAAATGCCGTGCACATGTAACACAACATCGTTCAAACACGATTGGTTTCCGAGCATTTCAACATCGAGCTCTTCAAACACATCTGCATCACGAATTGCCTTTCAACGATTTGTTCCCAACTCTCCTGGTTGTTCCCAACCCTGGTGGTTGCCGGGTCCCCGTTTTGAATCAGCAACGCCCTGCGTCTCCTCCCATCCCGCCTCCCCCTCCTAACTTGCGCCTTCCTTTCCTTGCCTCTGCTCTCCACAAACATTTGCCTCGTCACACTCCTCCCACACGGTCCGTGGCCCCATAGGGAGCTTACCTCCACCTACTGTTTCACTGGGCGCGACCGCATGGCGGCACCGAGCCCAACTCGGCACACACCCATCCCAGGTCTCGTGGCCCTAGGTGCTCCAGGCGTTGCCCCAAAAGGCGCAAACGCATGGTTGCACCGCGCCCATGCCCGCACACCACTCACTTGTTTCGTGGCCCCAGGGGCAGCTTCACCTGCGAGCCCCAGAGGCGCGACCGCATGACGGCACGGCGCCCGTGTCGGCACACCCCTCACTTGTTTCGTGCGCCAAACTTGGCACACACCCATCACAAGTTTCGTGACTCCAAATGAAACGCAACCTGCGGCCCCAGCGGGTACGACCGAGTGGCGGCACCGCGTCCATACCTCTCACGAAACTTGCGGGCTTCTGGCAAACTCCGAAATGGATGCTTAGCATCAGCCTCGCATGTATCTATTAAAAGTTGGGCATATTCGCCAAGAAAGTCTCCCGTGTGAGTACGGTCCTCGCTTTCAATCCGCAATGCGCGCCCCAACTCCACGTGGCAATTCCGGCAGACTCCTCACACGCTTCGTGGCCCAATTGGAAGCTTCACCCACGGTCGCAGCGGGCGCGACCGCATGGCGGCGCCGCTCGCAACTCCCGTTCGGCACGTCCCAAGCACGCTTCGTGGCCCCAATGAATTGGCGCGCCCCCATGTCAGCACACACCTCATACGCTTCTTGGCACCACAGGGACTTCCAGATACGGTCTTAGCGGGCGCGACCGCATGGCGGCACTGCGTCCATTTCGTCACATCCCTTACACGCTACGTGGCCCGTGAGGTGCACCACCTAATGACCCAATGACCGCGACCGCTTGGCGGCACCGCCTCCGTTTCGGCACACCCCTCACACCTTTCGTTGCTCTGAGAGAACGTGCATACTACATACGGTCTCACATGGCTCCGCCACATATCACGCGTTTCGCGGCACGTAGGGCACTCCGACTAATGCCTAAATGAGCGCGACCGCACGGCGGCACCGCGCCCACTTCGCCATACCCCTCCAAAAGTTAAGTTCGCGACTCTCAAAAAGCTCCAACATAGGGACTCACTGGGCGCGACCGCATGGTGACGACGCCCCAATTCTGGCGCACCGCTCACACGTTTCGCGGCCCTCAGGGCCACCCGCTGTCTCAGTTGGCGCGATTGAAAGGTGACGCCGCACTCGTGCCTGTGATTTTAGAGGACTCGCAGAGGTCTCACAAAGTCCCCGCGGAGACCCCGCCACTCTCCCTCTGCTTCTCGCCCCTGTGGTTGCTGCTGCCGCTCAGCTGTCCTTCCGCCGCTGCCCATTTGGCCCTGTCAATTTTGAGGGCCCTTGGTCAATTGAGCTGCGAGCACGCTCAGCGAGCGAGAGATAAACAGAGGTCAGCGGTCTTCCCACTCACAATGGTAGCTAGGAATTTGGTTGGCTATCCTCGGCCCGCAGGGCCGCCCACAACGACGACGTCCGCGACGTCGACATCCATATTGGCATCGAAGACCAGCGTCTGCCTGGTGATCTGCTTGACCAAGCTGCTGCGCAGCGACTACGCCAGTGCCTGCGACGCTAGCATCGACGTCAGCGACGTCAACCACAGCCCGACTCCCAGCGCCTGCGACGCTACCTATTTGTACCTCTCGAGCGTCTGCGACGCCAACGTCTACCTCCCCAGCGTCTGCGACGTCAGCAACTTCTACCTCCCCGGCGCCTGCGACGCCAACGACAACTTCTACAACTCCAGCGTCTGCGACGCCGACAACTTCTACAACTCCAGCGTCTGCGACGCCGACAGTTTCCACAACTCCAGCGTCTGCGACGCAAGCTGCGCGTCTGCGACGCCAGCGACCACCTCGGCGACGTCAACCAGGACCCCCCAGTTCCCCACAAAGACGACGCCTAGCAGCTGCACCAGTGACGACAGCAGCTTCATCCTCATAGACAGCACAATGGCCGATCAAGACCAACGCGGTGAACGGTCTGTTGTTCCCAGCTGGAATGGTGATCCACCCAAATGGCGCGACTACAAGCAGGAGGTAAAACTTTGGAGGCTCAGCGAGAACCTGAAGGTTCCCAGGTGTTTGGCACCAACTATAGTTTTGCAGATGACTTGCACCGCGCGTGCCGCGGCACCCAACATGGACGAAAATCTACTTCACCCACCTGGCAACGACGCGATCCAGGATGCCGCCGAGTGGAAGAAGGACCGCAACGTGACAGGTGAAACCCCCGCTAGCACCTGCCGAAGCCTGTCGGCGTCCACGCGCTGGTCGCACGATGGGCAGGAACTTATCAATGCCAGACAAGGGCACGCGCGCCGCCGCAACTGTGCTCCGCGGAGGCGAGGGCTGGGGAGGGAGGGCATGAGCGCCCTGGATCAACGAAGGTAACGGACGCATATTAAGTTTAAGCGGGGGGGGGGCGGGGGGGCGAACTTACATCTGAAGCGTTGTTTTTATTCCTGGCCCGTGCCAGTTGGGCCCGCGCCTGGGCGGGCCCAGTCCTCTGTTCGCGGACGGGGGCCGTGCCCTCGCCGCCGTGCTGGCCCCACAGGCCCGTGCCTGGGTGGCCATTAAGTTCGCGGTCGGGGCCCGTGCCCTCGCCGCCGAGCTAGCCCCGCAGGCCCGTGCCTGGGTGGCCTCTGGGTGCGCGGCGGTTGGGGCCCGTGCCCTCGCCGCCTCTGCTTGCGGTCGGGGCCCCTGCCCTCGCCGCCGAGCTGGCCCCGCAGGCCCGTGCCTGGGTGACCACTGGGTGCGCGGTCGGGGCCCGTGCCCTCGCCGCCTCTGCCTCGCGGCCGGGGCCCGTGCCCTCGCCGCCAGGCCGGCCCCGCAGGCCCGTGCCTGGGTGGCCTTTGAAGCTCGCGGTCGGGGCCCGTGCCCTCGCCGCCGAGCTGGCCCCGCAGGCCCGTGCCTGGGTGGCCCTTGGGTTCGCGGCCGGGGCTCTTGCCCTCGCCGCCGGTCTCGCGCGCCGAGGCCCGTGCCTGGTCAGGTGCGCTAGTGGGCGGCCCTGGGCCCGTGCCCAAGGCGCGCTCGCGGTCGGGGCCCGCGCCCTCGCCGCCGAGCATTCGCCCGCGGTCGTCTTCGGGATCGTGGGCCGCGCCTGCGCCGCAGGGCCCGTGCCTTGGCCTTCTTTCAGGGCCCGTGCCCCCCTGGCTCTCGGGAGGGGCCCGCGCCCCGTCTGCCCTGTGGCGTGCCGGGCCCGCGCCCTGGTTCACTCGCACACGTGGCCTGTGCCAAACACAACGCACGCGCACGCATGTAACACTGTCCTTGCCTGCGCACGCGCGCGAACACATGCGCAAAATCCGGTTATCGCATGCGTTTTCACCGTGCGCGCAACGCACTGCGCACGTGGCGCGCGGAGCGAAACCCCCGCCACCACCTGCCGAAGCCTGTCGGCGTCCACGCGCTGGTCGCACGATGGGCAGGCAACTTATCAATGCCAGACCAGGGCACGCGCGTCGCCGCAACTGTGCTCCTATCGTCCGGCGATCGCGCGCCTTACCCATCGTTGCGAGCGCCCGTGTCTCTTTGGGGGGGCAAAGGGGAGGGGCTCTGGAGCTTGCTCTCGCGCGCCCTCTCTCGCCCTGCTTCTGCGCCCCCGCGCGCTTTGTTTTTCTCTGCGTTGCTCGCTCTGGATCACGACAGCGCCGCCAGTTCTTCCACCTGATTCTTGCTGAGATACTGGACGAAAGCTGAACTCGTCCAGTCCCCGGCCCGAAGCAGGTTCGCGAGGCTACCGCCGCCGTCCACAATGTCCCCGGCCATTCCCCGCCTGAGCGAATGAGAGCCCAACCTCTCAGGGTCTGGGAGGACAACTTCAACGGCGTCTTGGCGGAGACGCTTGACGAACTGCTCTGCCGACCGCGTAAAGATCCGGGTTCGGCCTTCACGCTGGGCGCGGGCGACTGCACGGGCAAGGTGATGCAGCGCGCAGAGCAGCCTTCGAGACTGATTGCAACAACTTCCACGCCGAATGACCGCAGGCCGACGGCCCGGCTTCCGACGAGTCAGAGATACGCTGAAGCACAAACCTTCGATCACGACAGAGGAATGGGTCCCCTCCGTCTCGAGCGGAATGCATTCCGATGGCATGCGGAACATGCAAAAGCGACCAACCGCGCACGGCGCCGCTTGTTCAAAGTCCTTGCGGGCTTCTGCGTGGGCAACCAATTGCCGAACCTGCTGCGCCTGCAAGGCCAGCTTCTGACGCGGCGGCCCAGCCATTGTCCTCTGGCCCCTCATGACCTGCCGCAAGGACTCGGTGTACCAGTCGTCGTTCAATTGAAGAAAACGGTGGGCCCACCGCCAATGAGTCATGTAGCTCTTGAGCGTGGTCGGCTGCCGGAAAAGCGAACGATACCGAATGGCATCTGACTCGCTTGCGGGAAAGTGTCGGCCCCGCCGCAATGCGTCCATGAAGGCCGCCCAATACCGGATACCTGCTGAGTATGACGGCAAGGACCGGCCAATGGCAGCGATCATGCTCCTCTGGCCCATTTCATCTAGCAGTGCGCCGACGCTGGAATCTGCGGATGCAACGACTGCCGCGGCCTGTCTTGGTGGAGGAGGCGCAGACACGAGGCGCCCCAAACCAGCCGCATCCGCTCGGGTAGCAAACGTTGGCCACCCAGTGGCCTCTGTGACCGACTGCTCGTTCCCGAACTCGCACAGCGTCTGGGCGACCACCCAACCAGTGCAGCGTGGCGCTGGAAGCCCGAGCACCTTCGCTATCCACCAAGAACCTCCTGCTCCCCCGGGAACCGGGCCCGCCGCGCTTCTGGCCAGGGCGGCGACGCCCAGGCCCCGGCAGTCAGCGATGGAAATGGTGCTCCTGGGCTCCAACCAGCGCGCGGGACTGGGGCTTGACAGCACCAGCGGCATCCCGCTTCAGGGGCGGCGCCGGGGCGGGAGCCCACGCAGCTGACGTGAACGATGGCGGCGTCGCGCCCTGCAACAATTGCTGATGCTGCCCAGAAGACCTCGGTCGAAGAGCACCCAGTGCGACGGATGTGAAGGTCGGGGGGGGCGCCATTTCCCGGACCGCGCTGACAGGAGCAATCTTCGCTTGGGCCCAAAATGGCAGCGAGCGCTTTCTGCGCGCGGGCCCTGTTGTTTGTCAAGGTGGGTTGTTTGCCCCCCCCCCCCCCCCCCCTCCCCCTGTCTTCCCCAAACAGAGCGCGCGCGGAGCATGGGGGAACAAAGGGGGGGGAAGGGTGGTCAAGCGCCCCTGCGGCCGTTTGGAGCCCCCTGCCTTGGGCCCCGGGGCCTAACCCCCGTTTCTGCGCCCCCCAGCGACGGCTCGTCGCGACAGAAAGAGGGGCAACGATCGTCACATCAACGGCGGCGGTGGCAGACTAGGAGACAACAAGGGCGGTCGACGAACCGCGCGCTTCTGACCAGACATGACAATGCAAGGCCGCTGAGCGGAGACGCAGGGGAACACCTATGCTGACTGGGCAGGATGATGGTTTCTTCCTTCAGCGGTCGCAGGACCAAGCGGTTGGCTTCTTTCCGGCAACGCATCCACCCGTCAAGGCCCTGCGAAAAATCCGGGAAAACCCAATCCAGTCGTTCCTGTGCCCCGAGTGCCTGGAATGCCCGCAGATCCCCTCGGGAAGGGCCGTCTGCAAGATTCGCCCTGGCATTTACATAACCCAGGCCCTCCTTCGACATAAAAAAAGAAGAAGAGCCCCCAAAAAAGAAGCGCCACAAAAAAAGAAGCATGGTTGGCCGCCGTAAAAAAAAGAAGCGCCGACAATATAAAGGAAAATCGTCAAAAAAAATGGAGAACAGAATTTCCAACATTTTTTCATTCATTTTTTGTCGACTTCATTTTACATCCGTCGCAACCATCTTGCATTTTTCCGGCATTTTTCCGGCATTGTCCCGGCATTTTTCCGGCATTGTTCCGTCATTTGTCCGTCATTGTTCCGGCATGTTTTGTCATTTGTCCTGCATTTGTTGTTGCATGTTTCTTGCATGTGTGCTTCCATTTTCGTGCACGCACACATATATATATGTGTGTGAGTATATGTATATGTATATGTATATGTGCGTGTAAAAATATGTATACACATTTGACGTGCCCATTATGTCCAATGCATATGTGTATGCATGCATGCATGCATGCATGTATACACATATGCATTGGACATATATATTCATATTCATATTCATATATATATATATATATATATATATTGCATATGTGTATACACATTTATGCACATAACATTGGACACGCTGGCACGGGCGTCGAGGGTCAGACTTTGACGCGCTCCTGGCGCGTAAAACGAACGCGCCCGTCGTTGAGGCAAAAACCACAAATGCGGGGATCAAGGTGGCTGACTTGCGGCGGGCAGCCCATCGATTGCGAGACCCGGGTTGTTTGTCGACCCACGGCGTGTCACATCCCTTGTCCGTTGCGCCCGCGTACACCTTACATGGACTTCTAGTGTTCTGTGGTGTTGCCTCCTCATTCCCTTCTCCTTCGCTGCAGCGTTGTGGCTGAGATGGTGCGGATCGCGTGCTGGGCCGCCCCAGAAGGTTCGAACGCTGTAGAATACCTTTCGCTTCTCGTGCAGGGCTCTCTCTCGGACATTCTGGCTGCGCATGGGCTGTGCCCGAGCACGCGCATGAAGACGGGGTGCGACCAGGTTCCAATGCGGGGGGAGTGAGGAGGAGAAGGGGGACGAGGAGGACGAGGAGGAAAAGGGGGGGGAGGAGGAGGAGGAGGAGGAGCAGGGGGAGGAAGAGAAGGAGGAGGAGGACGAGGAAGACGAGGGCGACGAGACGAAAACAGGACGGCACCGAGGAGAACGATGAGGAAGAATGGCGCCCGCCGACCTCCCTCGATACAGGTTTACTTGGAGAAGGTCGCGGGAAGCCTGCTCCCGCGGTTCCGCCTCGACCCCAAGGGCGGGCACTTCTGCCAAGAGGACGCGCGCGCTTCGGTGGCCAAAGTTGCACAGGCATTATCCGTGCAGCTTCGTCCTCCGCCACTCCTCGGGCATTCCCTCTCCCTCTCCTGCTTGCTCCTTCTCCTGCTCCTGCACCTGATCCTGCTCCTGCTCCTGCTCCTCGCCCTCGTCCTCGTCGTCCTCGTCGTCGTCGTCGTCTTCCTCCTCCTCCTCATCATCATCCTCGTCCTCCTCCTCCTCCTCCTCCTCCTCATGCCTCGTCATCCTCCACACCTGTTGTCCTCAGCATCCTCCTGCCATTCGTCTTCCCTCTCCTCATCCGACTCCGAAGCATCCTTCCCCTGGGATTCCCCCCCCCTCTCCCTTGTCTCACTCACCCTCTTCCTCCTTCTCCTTCTCCTCCTCCTCCTCCTGCTCCTCTTCCTCGTCGTACTCCTCCTATCTCCTCCTCGTCCCCCTCGTCATCCGACTCCTCGAGCCCCCATAGATGTCCGCCTCTAATGGCGACCATGGGGACAGTCAAAACCTATCTTCCTAACCTCGTGTTCCTCCTCCTCCTCCTCCTCCTCCTCCTCCGCCTCCTCACCCTCGCCCTCCTTCCCCCCGCCACTACCACCCCCTGCCAACAAGGGGGTTGGCGCGCGCCGTCGGAAGAGGGCGCTGGAGGAGGAGGAGGAGTGGGAGGAGGAGGAGGAGGAGGAGTGGGGGGAGGAGACTGAGGAGGAGGGCGAAGAGGAAGAGGAGGAGGAGGAGGAAGAGGAGGAGGAGGATGCTGTGCCCCCGTCGGAATATCACTGCCACACCCCTCGATATCATCTTGCGGCATCCCTCAGGCAGAAGAGTTGGCCGTCAGTCTGCACAAATTCGCGATCACGAATGGCTGGTCCGAGTCAGAGTCGATCGAGAGGTTGGCGTTTTCATATCGGGTGATGCTGTCGCACATCCGTGCAAAATATGATCAAGCTCGAACGTCGGAGGCCTGCCAGCTCAAGATCCCAGAGAACATTAACGAGATCTTCAAGGTTCTGCCCCCAATTTGAAACACCGCCACTCACATCACTTACTATCTCCCAGCCTCACCGCCCTCCTCCTCCTCTTCCCCCCCTCTCCCCCTCCTTCTCCTCCTCCTCCTCTTCCTCCTCCTCCTCCGTCTCCCCCATCCTCCTCCCCCTCCTCCTTCTCCCCGTCCCCCTCCCCCCCCTCCTCCTCCTCCCCCTCTTCCTCCTCCATCCCCCTTGCCCTCCTCAGCCTCCTCATTCGCCTAATCCTAATCGCCCTACCTGCGCGCAGGCCCGAGGTTATCGACCGCCACCACCAGGCTGGCGGAGAACTCGGCGTATCAGGAGCATCACGGATGCAGAGGCTGAGGCGTGTGAAACAGATTACCTTCCTCTTCCTGCCCCACCTCCTCCTCCTCCCCCCCCCCTCCCCCTCCCCCTCCTCCTCCTCTTCCTCCTCGTCCTCGTCCTCCTCATCATCCACGTCCCCCTTCTTATCATTCCTGCTTTTTCATCTCCCTGCTCCTCCGCCTCCCTTGATTATCCTGCACCGCCCCCTTCATTAGTTTGTCGGACGCCCCTCGAGGCTGCAACATAAGCCCAACCCGTTCTCCAGCTTCCGCGACGACACAGCCGATGCAACCACGGCTCCAGACGGCGACGAGGCGAGCTCAGACGAGGAGTACTGCTCGGTAGTTGCGCGCTGGTTCGATGGCCAGAAGGCCGTCACGCTGCTCAGCAACGGAAACCAGATGGAGGGGACCTCGATTGCTGGGGAGAGGGGCCTCATCGTTGCGTCTCACTTCGACGGAACCCTAGTTGAGACGGAGCTCCCGAGCGATTTCCTGCAGGACGGCGCCATAGTAAAGCCAGCAGATGATGACGGACCTGTTGCAAAGAAGCCAGCAGGTAAAAGTGTTGCAAAGAAGCCAGCGGGCGCGATGAAAAGGCCAGCAGCATCGCCTGGTGGCTCTGACAAGCGCAGCAAAGTAGATGATGACGACAAGGAGGACGGAGAAGATGATGAGCCAGAAGATGATGAGCCAGCGCATGATGAGCCAGCAGATGCCCCTCAGCTAGTGACCGCCAAGGGCCATACGTCGGACACGTTCGTCCTCTTCCTGAGAAAGATCGGGCGCTCTGCCAAGTTCCAAGTGCTCCAGGTCAAGCGGAGCGACGTCAAATTTGAAGGGGTGACGCTTGAGGACTGTCCATCCCCATCCCCCTGCTGCTCATCCTCCTCCTCTTCCTCCTCCTACTCCTCCTCCTCCTTCTCCTCCTCCTCATCATCCCATCTTCACGCCTCCCTCATCCTGACAGGATGCCATCGAGATCGTGAGGAAGGCCGTGCAGACCGAGCTCCTATCGACGCTGCTGACAGATGCCCAGCAGGCTCTCCCCGTGAAGGCGGGCCTCCTCCTCCTCCTCTTCCTCCTTGAACCTCCTCCTCCTCCTCCTCCTCCTCTTCCTCCTCCTCCTCCTCCTCCTCATGGTTCTCTCTCCTCCTTCTCCTTCTCCTCCTCCTCTCCCTATTTTCTCATCTTCTGCATCCCTCGTTTCCTGCTCCTCCTCATCCGAATGTCCTCTTCTCCACCTCATCTCCCTTCTCCTTTCCCTGGTCCTCGCTCTGCCAGCCCGATGGGCCGTCAGGATCTCGACAAGGAGGTGATCGAGAAACTTAGGAATGGGATCTTGCGAGGGTGACCGGCGAGGGAGTTGCGAGATGGGATCTTGGCCGCAGCGTGACCGCGCGTTAGAAAAAAACTCGCCCACGCGGCGGGGCGCTCAACCTTGGACGCCGCTTGTGGGCCACTTGTGGCCCAGATCAGGCGATCCGAAAGCCACATGTCATTCAAGATCGAAGGGTCGCGGTGTCGGAACCAACGTGCATGGAGAGTAGAGTAGAGGGGGGATGAACAAAAAGGAGGAGCAAGATGAGGACGAGAGGACGGAATAGGAGGAC